GCGACTGCAATAGGTTAGAGCCCACGCAACCTGAAATTCCCATACAATGAAAATTCAGCCGGAATTCCCGTAGAGGAACAAGAACAATGAACAATTAGATGAGATTTATGAAAATAAATTTGCAAGTTCCATAAAATTCGTAGAAATTTTGCAGTTCTGAGTGCAAAAATTGATATTATTATTATGAATAGAAATCATCCAAATTAAGATGCGCCCCAAGAGAGTGTTAATGAAAGAAAAACAAAAATGGCAATCGATATGACGCAACCTCGAGGTCGGCGTTCCGAAGTCCGATCGAATACGATCGCGTTGCTCGCGAGATAACCGCCACCATACCGAGATTGTTCTCAACAACTGAACAAATACTGCTCAGCGACATAAAATCGTTCTGAATCGTCTTGCCCTGATCCGAGGTCAGCTTCGAGATCACTATGTTCAAACGAGACATCGTCTGCTCAAGATCACGACATGCATTCTGAAATTTGCGATCCGTGATAAAATGCTGACAAATAATGATAATCACTAAGAAATGATAATAAAAGGTGCCACCTCAAGCGACGGGTGTGCGTGTTCAGCAATAAAATGCGTCAATTTTGGATCATTCATCTCTGCACTATCACGTTCAGCACCGAACAATCGTTTCAATGCACCCACTTTGCCCAATCGCCAATTCCTACAAAAGATAATCATTTCTCAAAATAACCAAAAACATATCATTAGTTTTCATTCAATCCACTCAGCAACCAAACAAATGAATGTGTGCGAGAAACTGATTCAGAATCTGAAAAACGGCGTGAGAAATCTGACTGAATTTTTGAAAATTTTAAAGAATCAACAAAAATTTCTTCAAAAAGACCAACCTCAACTGCTGTGCGTTTGTTTTTGCCCATGTGGTTAACGTTCCCATAGATATCTGCTCAGTGAGATTGGCGTTGTTGTTCGACAGCGATATCATCGTGATCGCATCTCGGAACCATTTCTCGAAATTCATCTCACGACTTACACTTCCCGAACCGAGTATATCAACTGTTGTCGAAATTGCAAGACGGAGAACACTGTTCGCGTATTTCTGCAAATTATTACCGCAATCAGCCACATATTTTACATTTGATAATGAATAAAACAATGATGATAATAATAGAATAATTACAATAGA